TTCTGATTCTGATTCTGATTCTATTATTAAAATAAAATTTGCAGCTCGGTTTTAAACTCAGTTTTTCAAACCTTACGATGTACCTACAGCCCACAGTCTCACGGTGCCAAATGACAAATTTTTGAATGCTTCAGAGAAGAGTCACTCTAAGATTTAAATTGGTACATGAGGCTTAGGATCAGGAATCTTTCATAGCGAGTCATCCAAACACACAGCGGCATGTTAATAACTAACCTTGTGTGAATGTGAATGGATCCTCTCAGATGTTCTATTTCAATCACATTCCTGCAATAGGATTGCATCTGGCTCTTCCCATCAGGGAACCTCACATTAAAAAAAGGACACATGTTTATATTATCCCAACCACAGCTCTGCAGCTAGCCACCAGCTAGCACACCATTTTATGCAAGCTACCCCAACTTCACTAACCTCACAGACATCACTGCTGTCTAGTTATCTGTCTATATTTATGTGAAACCACACTTCCTCCCTGGGTCAGATCATGGCGTATGGCATATCATCTTTAGAAAGAAACTAGCAAGCTGACTTCCTGCCTACATCTCCATTGAAATCCACTTTTTTTCATACATGCCTCAAAGTTAAACTTTATTGTAATACATAGGTGAGCAGTGAAGTTTTTGCTCTTTACTGATCGGATTTACGGATGTGTTAACATAATATCCAAGAAAATTCACCCCCTGGTCAGAAAGTACAATGCTCAGAGAAAATGCTAAAACCCATGAGCTACATATCAGACTCTACAGGTCTCAGTTAGCATGTTAACTGTTAAAGGTCATGGCCGCACATTTAGAAAAAGACTGAACAAGTATGGCTTGTTTGAAATGGTTACCAGGGGAACACCTCTTCTCTCCGATAAGGGCGTGGCAGCACAGTTTGGTTTGCAAAGCTGCATCTGAACAAACTAAAGAGTTCAGAAACAATATCCTTTGGACAGATGAGACTGGATAGAGCTGAGCTTAAACGAATGCCCACAAATATCAATGAACTGAAGCAGTGCTGTAAAGAACAGTTGGCCAAAATTCCTTCCTAACAATGTGAAAGACAGATAAAGTCATACAGAAAATGATTACTTAAGATTACTTGAATGTGGATCTACAAGCTGCTGACGTTGTGTGCTTACTGTAGGTAGTCCCATGGAAACTATTTTTCACATAGGTGTACAAGTAGTACAGAATAAAACTGCATGTTGCACGCTGCAATGGAATGTAACCTGGACTGGCGAACCGCTAAACATCAGTCAGAATATTCTATTTTAATAAGGAATATATTATAAACGTGACTTGGAATAAATGTATAATGTACTATATAGAATGCTGTCACGAAATGGTCAACATACAATTATAAGATTCATTAAAAGTAGGAGCAGTTTCAAGATTTATTAAGCTGAGATAGGCTCCAGTTACCCCTGAAACCTTGAATGGATGAGACGACATTATAGAGGAAATAAGATTTATTTATGAATCAAAATAATATCTGTAAAGATTTGCTTTTTTTACTTATGTTTATGTGTTTGTGAATGTTGATTCTATGCGTACGTATGAATGGAGGACATCATCAAGAGTAACTAACACTGATGCTAATGTGGATCCTAATAATGCACAAAAAAACAACCAAAAAATCAAATCTTTTAAATTTTAACAAGCATAATGTAACCAAGGACAACACAGGGCTCTGAAGATGTACATCTGGATGAAGATGATCACAGAGGCGAGGGATGCAAGAGTGTTTCTGTAGCAGTTGCTCAGCTATGCCATATGCTAAGCATTCAAATTATCCTTTTATAATAAAACATCTCACATTAACAGTAATTCTAGGCACTGAGCACCACAATATAGTCCTCCTCTACATTTTTATGCATATCAACGAAACAAATTCATTTGTTTTTAGCAGTTTACTTTTTTAAGTATCCGCCTTGAGCTAACACATACAGGACACTTACCAACAGCAATGGCTTTCCCCTGAGATAATGCAGCCTTCTTTAATATACTAATGAGTGTCTGCTGTGATTCAGAATGTCTGCTACACCAGACAGACAATAAACCTTTTTACCTGAAAGAAATCAGCTCATTGTGGAAGTGCTGTTTCTTTAATGTGCCTTCTATCACTGGGTCCAAGAGAAAATGAAATTTTACCTCATTGAGATAAAATGAAACCTAAAATAGCAATTCATTTAGAGCAAATATTTTTTGCTGATTAGACTTCCTGTATTCACAGACAGTGACATATCGTTGTTCAGATCATGACAAGAAAAATACTTTACTTACTTTTACTTGTATGTTACAAATTGGATAATAGCTGGCCTGTACACACAGTGCTTAATAAATTTAAGAGACCATCATCCAGTGTAAAGCGTATGCTGCCCTAAGTTAACATTGCTGGTAAGTACTGGTTTCTGTAAGTTTCTGTAATGGTTAATCCACCAGTGTGCTCAAGCACTTTATATTTTTAATGCTAATTTTTTTCCCCAAGAATTTTCAAATTTACTGTTTAATAAAAAAATAAATAAACAACATTATTTTATTTTTGGATTAAGATGTCAAATCAGTTATTTATTTACACTCGTAAACAGAAAATATAGTTTTCCTGGTTGAATGTAACGCTCGATTAATTTCTGACTCCTCAGAGAAGTCCGGCGTGCCGCCTCAAATTTGGGTATAAAAACATGAATTCAGTTTGTTATTTGGCTCACAAATAACAAATATAATTTATTGTTTTAAACAAGTTTTTGACAGATCTCTAAATTGTTTGTGTTTTCTTGTTTTCATGGCAGGTGGTCTAATAAATCTATAAATACAACAATATGTGCCAGCGCTGTTGACACAGTGGAAAAAGAAGAAATGACACAATGGAGTAATGGAGATGGAGCACACAAATTAATTAGTGCATCTCATATCTATGTTTGCCATCTCACTGTGGGGGCAGTTTTATTTTTATAATTCTGGTGTCCATCTGCGCCTTTCACTCACATAACCTAAACAAGATTTCTGAAGATACCGCCCCACTCCTCCTCGTTTGTAGGAGGAAAGGCCTCGAGCCATGGGACGTCCCTGCAGTGTTGAAGGAAAGACACGAGGATTTGCTTGTTATGTATAAACAGGTAGGAAAACTATCGCCCTGGTCAAGGCTGATAGGATTAAACAGATTTGTGAGCGGTGCTATTTAAGCAATAAAGACAGCTGCAGGCTGAAAGCTGTTACAGGTGTTTAGAGAGCGAACGAAGGGACAGGACTCTCAGCAGAGGTTCAAAGCATCAGCAGAGCTCTACAGGTATGTTTCCTGTTCATGTAGATGACAAGAAAGCTGCTGAAGACGTTGTCACGGATCTGCTGTTAAAGACAGAATGAGGTTATAGCATAGTTGTGGGGGCGTGGCAGATTGAGTTCTTCCTCTAGAAAGAGGTTTAACAGAAAAAAAAATTGTGATATTACATATCAAAGAGTTTAAATGATGTCATTTAAGGGTTTCGTTTGAAGAAACAGCCGTGTGCATGAAAGGGGTTAATTAGAAGAGGTTTATTAAATTCTGTGCATCATCCGTTTATCATCTTTGTTAGGCTCTTTAATAATAGAATTCATTTTCTATCTGGCTTTAATAAAAGATATAGGTTGTCATCTTTTCATTGTTTTCATGCTAAACCACAATTTCCCTTTGTTTTTTATTTTTATTTTTATTGCAGTTATTCATTTGTATCTATAGTAGTTTTAAGTCAAATTTTCCAAATTTAATTTGATAATTTAATTTAAAGCACTGCTTCTGAGCTTTCTCGAACCATAATTGCCTTAGCATTTAAAAAAACGTTTTTCAAAGTGGAAATTTATTATTAGCTTTGGAAACTTTGGAAGCTTTTCAAAATATATTTTATATTTCTTTCCCTTTTTCCGCATATTTTAAATTACATATCAGTGTGAGATGTGGAAAAACTCACTGAGCCTTGAGCTAATCATGCTTTATCTGTATTTTATTAGATTAAAGGTCATCTGTTTGCAGTCAGGAATGCTCCTCTGCAGAAAGACATGCTATTGTTCTTGAGTAATGTGCTGAGCTTTGGAAATGTAATCTTTTTAATACCATTAAGAATGCATGTTTTAATCCTGTTTTACAATATTTATCGTTTTACCTTGAGATGAAGACAGACATTTCAGAGATGGATGTCTTTTAATCTGAAAAGACAGAAGCTATGACTATATTTACATGGCTGGATGCTTTAATTTAAGTGAACCACTCTTTTAGGATCTAGTCTACAAGATGAATAAAAATGTGCAGTTAAATAAGATCCAACTCTGAAAAATAAAATAAAAAATAATCTCGACTATTATTTCCCGCTTTTCATTTCAGAATACATTTTGTTTTACAGCACACTAAATCAGCCACCACTCCTGTAAATGCACACCAGCACATTTGAGTGTATACATTACTCTTCTGTAGAGGAAATAACGCCATTAATCCACATCTCCATAATATAATCATGTATAATGACACAGCCGCGTTTTAATCAACACTAAACTTCTGACATTGTCTCAAAGCGCCTCATTTGATACCCGATCCCCTCTTGTGGCAGCAGCGTGTAGTGCATCCGGCAGAGGATGCAGCTGGTTGTCATGGCAGCAGTGCTGGCGCTGGCGGGGGCGGAGCAAGACTGCAGCTCCGGCTGTCGCCCAAAGAACATCAGCCTCCCTGTGGACACCTGCGGCACCACCGAGTTCGTCGACACCACCATTTGTGAAGGACAGTGTTTCCAAAAGGTGAAGAGTGACTCGCTCTCCTCTAACTTGTGCTACTTGTGCACTGTTTTTCCCGATGAGACGTGTGCGTTTATTCTGCTTAGACGTGATGTGTTAAGCTGAGCTCAGTGCTCCTGAGGAAATCATTCATTTCGATTTGATTTATACAAATCACCACAGCTGTCACTTAAATGTGTTTTATTGTAAGGTGAAGGCACTACGGAGAAAAGCCCAATCACATAACCTCCCATGAGCAAGCGCTAGGTGACAGTGGGAAGGAAAAACTCCCTTTTAACAATAAGGAACCTCCAGAACCGAGAACCAGCCTCGCAGTCATCCAGTCTGAGTGGCTGGGGGTGACAATAATAGTTGCAATCTGAAAATGTTATAGTGTTCAGTAAGATTATGTATTGCTATAAGTTTTCTTTAAAGATAAATCACATTTACAACTTTATAGCAGACCTCTTAAAGGCTACTGCAGGGGCACACATTTGATCCTCACCAAGCCATCTCTTGTGTCATTCCCTGGCCCTCCACCTGTTTTCCCTCTCTACATACTACTGCTCCATAAAAACAGAAAAGAAAGAAAAATACTATAATGAGAGATCATTACATAATACAAGCTTTAGGGTTAAAGCACACATTCAATGACCATCAAAATTATACAAACTTTGTACAAGTATATAGAAAATGAAAATTTAAAATTGACCTCTAACATCAAAAGATACCACAAGTGACCCTTTTGAAAGGGTTGTAGTCCGGTATTAGTTTATTTATTAAAATGTTTGCAAAGCCGATTAAAATCTTGTACTTTTGAGTTTTTAAATGTCTCACAAGCTACATTTTCCCCCATAAATAATCTTAAATAGTGGCAGCAAAAGTCAAAAGCTGTCAGATTCATGAAGTTGGAATGAAATCCCTTTAAGGAAATGGAACTGACTGTGTTTATATCCATGTGTCTGATCCCTCTGCTCTGCTGGTAGGATCCCAACTATGTTCATACTGACGACGGGCCCAAACAGAAAACCTGCAACGGAGAGTGGTCCTACGAGGTGAAATACACAGAGCAATGTCCACGGGGTTTCATCTACCCTGTGGCCAGGAAGTGTGAGTGCACTGCATGCAATGCAAACACAGACTGCGGGACCTTGTCTGGATACATACCCAGCTGTTAGCCCTTTTAAAGAACCCCAGTATTCATCCTGCGCTTAACAATTATCTTCTTTGCACCTCTTCCCTCTGAAATAAACCAGTGATACAAGCCTTTCTGTTTCAATCTGTTTTATTACAATTTTTTATAAATGCAACCCCTCCCTTAAAAGTTATTCTCTTTATACATGTAGGTAATTGTGGTCACACCAGAACACAGGTATCAATAGTCGTTATTAGACCGCTTGCATTATTAGTGGCGCGCTTCAGTCTTGTAGTGTCATAAGTCACAGCAGAAGAAACTGTGTAGATGCAGCAGACCTGTAGAGTCAGCTAGAAAAGCAACCACCCAACAGTTTCCCTTTTTGTTTTGAGCGGGGTGACTGACCCCTGAAAGTCAATAATCCTGCGAGTCAGGTTTCCCTGCTGAGAACAGGATATAATCTTGCAAAGAAAACAGAACACTTCTCCTCCTCTTTTGACAGGTGGAAATGAAAATATAGAGTTTGCAGCATATTGAACTCCCCCCCCCCCTTCCCCTGCAAAGTGCCTGCAAATCGGTGTCTCTCTACTCAACTCAACACAGCCTAGTGAGCAGAAAACCTCCTCAGAGCTGCTAAAGTGGTGGAAACTATAAGCCAGCTAAAGATACAGATCTAATATTGTATGCTTGGGTGTGAGGAGGCCTCAAAACATACATAGATTAAAAAATGAATATAAAACAGAGTATGCACCTGCAAGCTTTGTTTTTTCTCCTCTGATCCAAACTAAGGACTTTTCAAAATTTGGGACAAAAGAAAAAGGCAAAATTAATGGACACCTTTGCAGAGAAATGAGAAGAAGAATAAATGAGCCCTTCGCGCCCTGAAGTCTGAAAAAGTCTGTTATGATAAAGTTTGGAACAGACTTATTTTTAGCCCAATGCAGGTGCATCTTCTGACTCTACAGACTGTTAGCATAAAATCTTGTTATAAGGCCAGAGACAAACCTGAGGCTGCTGCTAGCAACAACTCACTCATTAATATGACAAGCTGTTAACTACCTACAGTGCTGTTACCTGGCAACACACCGGCTTTATCCTCCTGCATTGTGGACAGCAACTCATTCATTAACAGCTTTAGCATGTGGGTTTGTTGGTGAAAAAAAACAACAAAACACGGTTTAATTGTTGAACTAAAGTGTATATTTTTTTTCCTTTTCAGGGGCTGGAATGCAATAAGAGGCAACGCAACACTATAGTGATGCTTTTTGCACAAAAAATGATGTGATCATGATACAGTGATTCTGCAGTCTCAGTGTTTTGTGAGACAATCACGTATAATGGATCATGACAATCTGCGATACTAACAAGACCAATAAAAAAAAATGCCACTAAGGCAAAGATCAGGACTTAAGTAAATAGACCAGCACTTATGTTGCATTATTCTACTCTGACTGAGAAATCAAAATGCTTTTCTACTACAGGCCTTACATACATCTGTTAAGTAAATGATCATGCACACACATACATTCACGCTCTTACATTTTAAGGTTCAGTATCATCAGCGTCTGGACTGGAGGAGACTGCAGTGACCAAACCACCGACCTTTCTGTTAGCCTAGAAGACAACCCACTCTACCTGCTGAGGCACTGCTATGTCTTATCTGCGTCACTGCAGGTTGTGGTGTCACTGTGTGTGTGCGTGTGCATTAACAATATTATTATTTTCTAATAATGTGTCATTTCCTGCCCACCATTTCCTCTCTGTGATTTTTTTTCCACTTTGCCCCTATTCTTTTGATAACTACCACAGTGAGGATTGATCAAGTAGTGATTATGGTAAGCTTAACTGCTGAGATCATTTGTTGTTTAATGCATTGCTCTATGAGTCTATCAATAATTTGTTCCAACCGTATCTAACACGATATTTCTAATTAATTGGGTACTCCATAAATGTAAAGTATTCCTTTAATTTGGTCTCAAGGTTCAGAAGAGATAGATTAAATTAAAAGTTGTTACATTCAAAGCAACAAAGGACAAGTTATCCTGACACTCTGAATCTCCAGTCTGGATCAGGTTCCTAATGAGATTTTGTTCATTACACATCAGCATGTGTGAAAGTTAGCCTTTCAGTCTGTGAAAATCTTCCTCCAGTGCCCAGGCATGGGTCTCTCAACACAGAGATATATCTATGTTTAATATTTTTGAGGTATGGCACATCTTAGGTAGCTACAGCATAACAAAAGGCCACAATTCAGTCACATAACTCATGTTTGCCCCTCCCATCACCCCTATCCAGTCAGATGCCTGCACTTCCTTGAGCCTGGTTCTGCTGAAGGTTTCCTCCCTTCAAAAGGGAGTTTTTCCTTCCCACTGTCACCAAGTGCTCACTCATAGGGAGTCATTTGATTGTTGGGGTTTTCTCTGTATTATTGTGGGGTCTTTATTCTACAGTATAAAGTGCCCTGGGGCGACTGCTGTTGTGATTTGGGCAGTGATAAGTAGATATCTCCCTGGAGTCTTACTGATGGATGTTGAGGTAATGGAGGGGTTAAAACAGCAGGAAGCGATGCAGAGCAGTGTGATGTATTGAAAGCAGTGCACTCAGTCTTGTAGACGTCCAGTGTAGTTTTAGTTTTTAATTTTACTTGTTAACTTTAATAACCATGGGTACTCCGGCTTCCTCCCAAAGGTCCAAAGGGTTAGGTCAGTTGGTGATTCCAAACTGCCCATAGGTGTGAATGTGGTGCAAACTGTTGTCTGTCTCTCTGTGTTAGCCCTGCATCCAGCTGGTAACTTCTCCAGGGTGTACCCCACCTCCTGCCCTATGGTAGCTGGGATAGACTCCAGCCCGCACCCCTGTGACCCTGACAAGGAAAAGCAGAAGAGAACAGATGGATGGATGGATGGATGGATCCCATACGTGTGAGGGATTCCACTGGAATCCTGAAAGGAAGTAAAGGATTTGTCGGTCTTGTTAGGAAGAAAAAGATGTAGGTAAGTTGTGTTACAATTGCATGATAATACTGCACATATAATGTATATCACAACTGTGGGTGCTGTGGAGTGGGTGATGAAAAGACGCTTGCCATAAAGTTTCTGAGTGATTTTAAAAGTGTGCTGCTCAAGAAACTTGTATTCAGTGGATATCAATATTTCCACGGCTTGTAGCTCAAAAGTCAAAGCTAAAGTGCCTTCACAAGCGAGAAAATCAATGATAGCAAAAGAGGTCAGAACAGAAATCCATGGGCAATGATTACATAAAGTATTGTTGCACTTGTACAACAGCAGCTTGCTGAAGTTCAGGATCTTGTTTGGACCAACAAATTTCCAGTTTGTTGTTTTGAGTCAGAGAGTAAGAGGAGCTAAGATGGAGTAATAATCAAGCCTACAGGCAAAACTGACCTAAGCTGCTGGCAGTAGAGTCCACGCTGGCATGTAGAGAGATGGAGCATGGCCCACAGGTGTGAGGCGGCAGCCTTTTTAGTGCTGACCACATCACAACAAACGGACCTTTTCTGTTCCCATACAAGCAGCCTGAAAGAGGATTTTTAAACAAACCATACAATGCAAGAGCTATATCCACATCCTCAGCACAGTCCACTATGTTTTCAGTGGATGGACAAGAGACTTCATTTCATCTGACCATGACCTTCACCACAAACTGGTGCGGTCTCTACCTGAGTATGAAGCCACCTGGATCAAGGTCAGTATTTCCAGGTTTGAGGCCATGGTTCTTAGCTTGATAACCAAACATGTTGCATGTTAACAACCAAAAGGACAGTGGACCCAAGATCAGGTCTAAGTTACATTTCACCTTTGCATGTAGATCTAGACCAAAAGAACGAAGTCACTTATAGTTCACTCCATAAAGTAGCTGGTCTCATCCTTGAAGAGGCTTCTTTGCACTGAAAGGTGTCAGCTGAGATGATTCAGGCAAACTTGGAGGTCTCAGAGGCATGCCAACTGAGAGGAGAACCGGAAGAGCTGGCTGGACAGCTCATCTTATCTGGCTTCTGAACTTATGATTAAATAAATACATGCCTTCCAATTAGGAGAAAGCATTGGGCAAATATAGGAAAACAACATTTCTCCACTTCAAAAGGTTAAAGCTACTGTTTGATGTTTTGCTTAATTCAGTTCAATTCTATTTTATTTATATAAAATCGCCTCAAGATGCTTATTATTGTAAGGTCAAGACCCTACAATAATACAGAGAAAACCCAACAATCAGATGACCCTCAATGAGCAAACACTTCAACGACAGTGGGAAGGAAAAACTCCCTTTTAGCAGGAAGAAACCTCAGGGAGGGGCAGCCATGTGCCATAACTGGTTGAGGGTGGGGGGATTAATAAGACAATTCCTGCAAAAGACATGTTGGTTTGCCCTCTACGGATATCAACAGCAATTTCTAACTTCGCTAATGGACAGAGGTGTATTAAACAAAGAATTAGATCCTAGATACAAACTGCATAAATGAGCTGCTACTGAAAGATGCCTGCGTGCTGCCTAAAAGCTATAATGAGGATCTCGATCACTTGGAAGGTGCTTAGGGTAGACATGCCACGCCTCTGCATTGAACAGAGCCAAAAGAGATCATTTGGGTGTTTGACATAGGTGCATGCTCTTAAGTTTTAAGCTGGAAGCTTAATTTTAGTTATGCTTCCCTTTGTATGTAATTCTGTCATCAGCTGATAATACAAGTAGCTAGAAACATTATTTGAAAATCTTAGAATGCTACTGAGCTCAAAGCATGGATTAATTTTCTTTCTACTGAAAAATAAAAGAAGCTGTTAGTTTACAGGAGCGAAAGATGTGACAGCCCCGTTACTCCATTTTCTCTGTCAACGTCCCAACAGACCTTTGGTCGTCTCACAGCAATGTTCCTGGATTTACTTCCAGCCTCCAACTCACTTGGCTCACATCTCCAGTTCGCTGTGAACACTGCAGGCTGCATATCTGCTGACAGATTTCCGTCCGTTCTGGTCACCGGTGTCCTTTAACGGTGGCTTGTTTTTATCCAGTAGCCCCCTGGAGGTTTGCGCTCCGTCCTCACTGATGACCGCCGCAGCCAATATTGCAATAGACATTTTATCAAGTTTACGGATGAGGTGTCATATGGCTTTCTTTGCTCGAGGGAGGAAATGGACACAGTGTAGTGGATGGCTACGTCTCGGGCTATGATGAATTTATTTATTTATTTGGATGAAGAATTTTGTAAGAAAACAGGGCAAACCATTTTTAGAAGTTTATGTTTGTATGTGTTAATGCTAACAGCTGTTAAAGACGCTGAGGTCGGACTCTGCAGATTACTCTATTTTCTGGACTTTAGAGTACTTTAGGAAGTTTCTCCAGTAAACTGTTTTATTGTGCTTTCCAGTAATTGTGTCAGGTTTTTGTGTAGCATCCAGCTTGAGTTGAACTGATATGATTTAATCTGCTAAGAGCGCTGATGTGACAGATAAAACTTAGCCAGGCTAGTGGTACTTGCACTAGTACTAAAAGACCTTTTGAAAAATGCTCATTTTGACAGTGCTAACCCGGCTGTAGTGTGTAAAATTGTAATCACTTTTAATTAATATTAAAAGTAAAGTGACCTGACTAATGAGTTAGATTGCAATAGAGTGTTTCTTCTTCACCAATCTGGATTTAATCATTAGTTATAATTAAACCTGGCTCTCTAAAAGAGCGTCTTTGGTGCTGTCTACCTCCCCTCCCCCCCAACCATGCGCAGCAGATTGCCGCACCTCCCTGAGCCTGGTTCTGCTGAAGGTTTTTTCCTGTTAAAATTGTGTTTTTCCTTCCCACTGTTGCCAAGTGCTTGCTCATAGAGGTAATCTGACTGTAGAAATTTCTCTGTACCATTGTAGCATCATTACCTTATAAAATAAAGCACCTTGAGGCGACTGTTGTTGTAATTTGGTGTTATATAAGTACAACTAAATTGAGTTGAAGTGGTTGGAACTGATCACAGTACCAGATGAAAGGGGGTCAGGATTACTGATTACAACTGCAGTGCATAAATGGGTGTGTTTGTGTTTCTAACAAATACTGTGCCAATCTACCACACACTTGACAAGATTCAAGTCTTAATCCATGTAATGAACCAGCCAACAGACATTGCCATCACTAGATCCACACTGCTGTAAGGCAAAAACAACAACAGCAAAACATGACTTGACAGCATATATTACGAGCGGAAAATATTCATTCTCAAGAGCTCATTAAACAGGAAACTTGTTCTAAATGAAAAGGAAACTGCTTCTTTAACAAAGTGCTCTGATATCGATTCCAACATCAAACATAACGATACCGGCAGCGATGACAAGAGAGCATACAGGTGTCCTTTGAAGACCCATACCTGTATCTGGAGCGTCCTCGGTGTTCTGAGTCGCTGCATAACAAACTGTACTGCATGGGGAAAATAGTTCAACTTGAATTTAAATCAGACAACAAAGCTTCACGGGCTGTGATGAACGATGCTTGCATCAACTGTCTATTCTCATGTTTTTATAAATATTAATAAGATTCATTCACACGTACACCTTTAACAGCATTATAAATAAAGACAGTGGTGCTGGTAAATAAAGAAGGGCAGCATGCCTCCATTTCATAACACAGCCTGCAGTGAGATGACTGCACCCTCCTCTCCAAAAAATATGTACAGTAAAAAAAGGACTTGCATTTTATTAGCATGCCCTTTAAAAAGTAAAATATCCACCGTTGCAGTTCTTTAAAGTTCATAGTTTTCAGCCTTTGCTGCCATTGCTCAATCTGTGGTAATAAGAAGAGGGTATGGAGGCGAAGCTACCCTGGGCTGCATGACTCTTGACCTACAGCTGAGCTCAAGGACAGCGGGATGTGTACAAATGAGACATTACTGTCTGAGGAGTTCTGCAATTCTCTTGCCAGCCGGCACGATGAACTGCTGTGTCATGCTGTTGTCTATGGCCTTAGGTCAGTACGAAGAAGGGAGTGAAAAGACTGCTGCTGAAGTGTGTCCAGTCTGTGATAATCAGGCAAAAAGATCATTGTGGAACTTAGCATGAATCACATTTTCAAGGGTAATCATTTACTAGCTGGATAACTGATAAAACGTGTACTTAAAAACGAACGATTTGTCGTTAAACAGCCTTTAAGCTAATGCCAAAGTGCTCTCTGTAATATAAATAATTAAGACTCTGTGTCAAAAAGGTGGGAATACATGTAGGAAGGATTAGTTCCCATTTCAGCGCCGCCTTTGAATGAGCGCGGATCAGATATACAATGAGAGCAAAGTCCTGACATTCAAACCTCTGAGAAATTATCTGTCAGTCAAACTCAGGGGGATGAGGAGCTCCGCTCATGAATTTCATTTGTCAT